AGGGTAAAAGGGGGATCTGGGGGTGCAAGAGGGGGAGCTCGGGGGGGAAGGAGGGACCTCGGGGTGCACGCGGGGAGCTCGGGGTGGAAGCGGGGGGAGCGGCGATGCCCGCACGGCCCGGCCGGGGCGGCGGATGTCGCGTTTAAGGTGGCCCGGTCCGGAGGGACGGGGCGCTGCCCCGGGGCTGGGGGGGCTCCCGGGGTGGGCTGGGCAAGGGGTGTCACTGCGTGGGGTGCAGGAGCGAGGGGACACCCGCGGGGGCCGCGAGAGGGACACGCGAGGGGCCGCGGGGGCTCGCTCGCAGCACGGGCGAGGCGCGCGTGGAATTTGGGGGGCACTCTGGGGGCGCCGAAGGAGTCTGGGGTGGGCGTACGCGGGGCAAGTGAGACTCGTGGGACACAGGTGAGACCCGGGCCCCACCGCTGCTGCCCCTGGAGCCCCCCGGGGCAGGGAGGAGGGGGAAGAGGGCAGATCCCGACGCGGTTCCACCTTAACGTCCCGTCCGCGTGCGGGACCCCGGCTGCTCCTTGTGCCCCCCCCGGTTTCTTTTTCCTTCCTTGGGCTTTTTTTGGGCCCCCCTCCGAATGTGGGGGGGCGGCTGCGCCCGGGGATAAATCATTCCCGCTCCTCCGTGCCCGGTGAAGGCTTCGTCCGGGAACGGGGAGTCTCCTCCCAGCCGGAGACAATGATGCTAAAAACGAAAAGGAAAACAACAACAACCAAAAAAAAAAAAAAAAACCAACCAAAAACCCACAACAACATCGAATAAACCCAAAAAAAAACACCCTTCCTCCTTTGCACTCCTCTGGATAAGGAAATTCCTGCCCATCGGAATTGTCCTCGGGGGGATGGATAAATAGCTGGGAATCGGGCACAGCTGGGGCAGTGAGGGAGTGGGTGGTTGGATGGTCGTGGCCAGGGTAGAGGCTTCACTTCCACGGTCGTTGAGTGGGCAGAGGTCACCCAAGGGGTTTGGGGGGCTGCGGGGGTCCCACCATGGCCCTCAGCCAGCTGAAGTTCAAGGAGCTGGGCGAGGAGGAGCCCACCTGGGAGGAGGAGAACCTGGACAGTGTGAAGGCTCTGACGGCCAAGCTGAAGCTGCAGACACGGAGACCCTCGTACCTGGAGTGGGAGGCCCGGGTGAGGGGGCAGCGCTGGGGCACCCGGACCTCGGGGGGGGCCCGGGGGGCTGAGCAGGGCCCTGAGCACCCCGAGGACCAGCTGGGTGGTGGCGTCTGTGGCTTTGCCACCATGGAGGCGGCTCTGGAGTGGCTCAGGACGGAGCTGGTGAGTAGCTGGCAGTGGGATGAGGGGTGAGCTGGGACCCCAGGGCTCCCCCCGTGCCCCGACCTCACGCACCCAAAATCCCTCAGGGCTCGGGGCAGGTGGGGCTGAGCCGTGGTGCTGCCAGACCTGCTCCAGGGGCAGTGCCACGGGAGATGCCACCACCCCCACGGGGCACAGGGGGGTTGGGGGTACCTGGGGGCCTGTCCCTAAGGCAGCAACAGCCATGTGGGTAAAAACCCACGGGCATCAGACACCTGTGCCCACCCCAGAGCGGAGCGCATGGGTTTTGTGCTGTCCCAGGGTGGGTCCTGCTGGGTTTGTGCCCTGGCCAAGCCCCATCCCTGCTGCCCAGGGGGCGATCCCACTGCATCCTGACTCCGGTCTCCCCTCCAGAGGGAGATGCAGGCCGCGGACCAGCGCCTGGCGCAGCAGCTGATGCGGCTGCGGGCGCGGCTGCACCGGCTGAAGGTGGAGCAGGCCTGTCACCAGCACAAGGAGATGCTGGACGACGCCACCTTCGGCCTCGAGGGCTGCGAGGAAGACTCGGACCTGCTCTGCAACATCCCCCCCAAGGCCGCCTTCCTGCTCTCCACGCCCCTCAAGCACATCGGGGTCACTCGCATGAACATCAACTCCCGGCGCTTCTCCCTCTGCTGATCCCCTCCCCTCCCCTCCCCTCCCTGGGGGCTGGGTGAGAGCCCCTCAGCACCCATGGGTGCATCTGGAACTGGCAGGGCTCGAGGGTCACTCCCCAAATCCCTCGGGGCTCGGGGCAGGAGGAGCTGCTCCATGGTGCTGCCAAAACCTGTGCCAGGGGAAATGCCACCACCCCCGTGGGGCACAGGGCGTTCTGGGGGCCTGTCCCTAAGGATGGTGGGGTCAAGCACGGTGGAAGATGTTGGGAGCAGCCCTCTGAGGTGGAATAAAAGGAGGTAAAGGTGAGGGCTGATTTTTTTTACACCTGTAAATGTGGCTCCAAGACTTTTGCTGTGGGGACTGAGGGGGGGTGGAGGGGGGTGACAGCACAAGATGCCACTTGAGGATGTGACTTCCAGAGAGCACCGTGTGCAAGCAGCGCCAGGGACAACGTGGGGCGACCCAGAGAAGCTGTAGGATAACCCAGGGGTCGTTTTGGGGGCTGCTTCTCCTTCCCAAGGCCACGGGGAGAGCCTGACATGCCCCCCAGGCTGCCACAACCCCCCCCTGTGTCCCGACACAGCTGGGCTTCCTGTGCCTCGCCGAGCTGGTACCTGCGGCTTCGTGTTTGATCTCAGAAGCCAAGACAATGGTGTTGTGGTTGCTCTGCTCTGAGATGTCTCCAAAACACAGGGCTGGCAGCCTGGCAGGGGCACTGTGTGTCCCCCCCGCTCGCCTTCAGCCCCTGCCCACGTGGCTGTCCGGGTGCCACACTCTGTGCTGACACAGCGGTGGTGGCCAAAAAGGGGGTTTTGGGGTGCACCATGAGTACTACAAAGGGTATAGGGTCAGGTGGGATTAAAAGCAGTGGG